TGTGACTTTCTCATCACCACCTGCATTTGGTGGTTATCAGTGTATTACAAAGGTACAAAACTAAAAAAAAGCTACAAAAAAACTGATTTCAGTACTTCAATAAGGTTGGTATATTAACATTATATCAGTTAATGAAATTACGGTATTTAACTGTAAATTTAAGTTAAAACCGTATACATATATATATATATATATATATATGCGTGTAAAATCCAAAGTGCTCAGTAAAAGAGCACAGAAAAATTAGCAGTAAAATTCACACAGTAGAACTATTACGAAACACAAAATAATGTGGCCATAAGTGAGTCTTGCCTTAATTTACAGTAAGTCAATGTGTTTTTGTTGTGTTTCTTTGTTACCCACAGCTATAGAAAAATATGATAAGAGTGGAATTTGAGCTTGGAAGAAAGAATTCACCAAAAAATGCCCTAAATTAAGAAATGTAAAACATATAAAACCACATAACTGAGGTTGGCTCTTAAAACCAACCAAATGCACTGCAGTGGAGGTCAAAGCACATATAATGATTCATATTCTCTAATCTTTGCTTGCTAACAGAGACTAAATGAAGTTGTGAAGCCGGAAACACAATGGCCATGTATACGCACGTCCTGATCTTGGCATAGTTTTCCATAAATAGACCATAAATAGACACAGTATCACTTGTGCTTATTGAAAAGTGCGATTCGTCCTAAAGCAAAAGCCATGATATTTTGTTCCATTTTAAGTGGATTGTTTGTATTATACGTCTGTATTACATTTGTTTTATGTATTTGTTTGTATTAAATGGAAAGGAAATGTTTATTGAGCCAGTGACGTGTGTTTGAAACTGATGTTATCAGTATAGAGAAAATCAGTATGCAACAAACTGCATAAACATATTCTGTCATTTGTGGATATGATCATATAAATGCAAAAATAAACATCCATTCTATTCTGACATCTCAATATGTAAAGGTGTTTATCGCCATGAAATAAAATATCGAAATTATGAGCGATAACATTCCAAACATAACAATGAGCCTATAGAGAGGTCAGATTTGGTTTGTGATGGATTGTATTTGAAAAATTTTAAATGTAAACAGGTTGGTAAAAAGAATCACATGGAATCAAACATATTATAAATGCATTTCATGTTAGGCAGCATTAATGACCGTTTGATGACAGGAACTGGCCAAAGGCCATTGTGGCTGCTATTGCTTCATTCATTGCATAGTTTCTGCAAAGAGATGCCAGTTATGTCGTTTCTGCACACAGATTATGCAGAATAGATGGAATAAACTTGAAATGAAACAAGATGATGCATTATTTATTATTACTGTTTTTGATGTAATACTTGCGAAAAACTGGAAGAACAGAAAACTGCCAACTGCTTATAAAGCATTAAACCAGGGCTATGCACATAACATTTGCCTTAAAGGGGTCATATGATGCTATTTTAAAGATCATTATTTTGTGTATTTGGTGTAACAGAATATGTTGACATGCTTTAATGTTCAAAAAACACATTATTTTTCAAATACTGTACATTATTGTAGGTCCTCTATGCCCCGCCTCTCTCAAACACGTAGTTTTCAACAAAGCCCCCTCCTTTGACAAGCACAGTCTGCTCTGATTGGCCAGCTGACACAGTGCATTGTGATTGGCCGAACACAACAAGCACGCGTCGGAAATGTAACGCCCCTTACCATAAACGCGAGCTTCA